CGACATCCACGATCTTTCACATTGTAATTCTCCAAAATTCCTATGAAAATCGTCTAAATCAAACGAGCCCGTCGTTATATATCATCAATCCATCGCATGACTTCCACGGCCCGCCTGCTGCACTAGCAGCCGCCAGGCTACATACTTGCCAGGAACTGCACCCACAGACGGCTTGTCGGGCCACGCTGACATCTGCACTCATGTTGCATTTATTTGTTGGGTTGTCATGAAAATTTACACACCTTGCTTAAGAATAAGAAATATTATTGATCTCTTTCAATGCACAACTGTATTGTCGCATTGACTTTGCCATATCTTGTATTTGTTCCTTGCATTTTACCAATCATGCTACAGTTACATGGTCTCCGCCTGTTCATATGAAACTATATACTCATCTTTCAAGTACAGTCTAATTATAAAGATGTGGTTCTTTGCATCCTTAGTGGTTATGTGCACCATTTAAGGTTAATTTAATTGTGTATCGAATGCAATTTGCAGATATCAAGCTAGACATAAAGGGATCTAATTTTGTATTCGTTTTTTCAAGGGCATCGTGAGCCATGAAACAACTCATTTGGAAATTTTCTAAACAGGGACTAGGTACTAGTACTTTTTCCCAAACTTATTAGTTGTGTGCATCTTGTCATGTAGGTATTTGCTCATTGCGGTTTTATCAACTGGATCTAACATTTCACTAAAATTGCTACTATCAGAAATCATCGTTACTTGAGGCACAAATTACTCAACATTGAGGATTGTCGGGATTGTCAATATTTTTTCGTCATTGCTAACAATTTTATGACTTACAAAGAGAATCACCTGTTAGTGGTAATTAACAATGGAATCACCGTTGCTAGTGAAGAAGGCATTGTTCACTAGATAGTGCATCATAACCACTTCGTCTAAAGTAGATCGTGTATTTGATAATTTCAATCTTCGATAGTGCTACATGATACGTCATTACTGACGATAGAAAAATCCTCTACAGTTATGAGGACTAGGCACGTCAGTAATTTCTAGTAAGTGGTAACAATTGTAGCACCAACTGACAGGATCGCTCGTTAGTGGTCATGAACTGCGGAATCACCCGTCCCTAGTGAAAGAAGGCATTGTTCCAGGGAGATTATGCTACCCATGCCCTTGTTCTTTGTAGTCACCCCGTTTAGATGTAGAACCTGGCCCGTTATCACCACCATCGGAGAACTAGCAATAGTTAACTCCATCTCACTCGCAAGTCATTCAAGATGAACACCCGGCACACAAAAAAAAAACAGAAATGCAAGCAAGGAAATTAGACGCATCTAAAGACTTGGGGTGTAAGGCGATGTTGAGGAGACTAGATCTAACGTCCCATGTCCTTCAAGGTAGTATACATCATGGAAGCCATGGAGAAGCACTTACTATCGGCCTCCACCTCTCACATCCTCTCAATATAGACCATTCAATCCTCCATAACCCTAACCCCTTTTACTCTCGCACCCTCTCAATATGGAAACGAGACAATGGAGGTCACTCTTTCAACCTTTTTGTCCCACCTCCCATTGCCGCCCCTCCAACCATATATAACTGATGCCTTCTAGGCACCTGTCCCCTGTTTGCACCCCACCTCTACCGCAGTTATGTTTCTCTTCAACTCTGGGCCAATCACGGCCCCCTCTATCAAATCACCCTCCAGCGACAGTTATATGATCTCATCAAAACGGTGCGGAAATTGAAGATGTGTTGAATCTCGACTAGTCAAATCCTACCTCGATACAAGGAATAGGCACTTGAGTCCTCAATTAGCGATGATGTTTGTTCTTTCGTTCTCTCCTGATCTTGTAGTTCGCTTCCATATCTTTCTGTATAATCCAACCATGATGGTATATCTCTCTTCAGATATGCCGACACAAAACCAACTCTCCTCGGGTCATCCACCAAGAAGACAAGACTCCCCAGATCCGTCATGAGGAGACTATGTGGAACCATATTAACACACATATATTTTGTATTTATACGTTTATTCATGTATGGGTGGCCAAAAGATGATCGATGTATTATGTTGATTCTTATATAAATGTCATATGTTAATTTGTCTTGTGAAGGAATGATTGAATGGGCATAATATGTGGATGAATTTTTATGTGAATGAACTGGTGTCCTGTAAGGATATACCCTCTTCTGTATGAATGAGTGAAGAATGATTGGTTGATGGCTGAAAAGGCTGCTCATTGCCTATGTAATGGGATACACATCGGAAATGTTTTTTTATTAATATTTCTACCATTTTACACATCGCATACATGGTTTCTTCCATTTTCAACGTGCCATTCACATTAGCAATATATTAGTAGTTATGAGCCATACGTATGTTTGCAATGAGGTGGTTCACCCATCTGCGATCACCCGATCTATACAAATGGCACCAAATTGCACATGTCTTAGGTTGGCATCGACTATTTATATAGCAGAGCTCCCCTTCATTGATCTCTATCTACCCCCTCTTCCTCAAACAAATCGATTCATACACACTTCCAGCTAGTGGCGGTGCTTGCTTATTTTCTACCCTCATACACACAATAACAAAATCCACTCTCTCTCCCTCCCCAACCCGTCCACCACACACCAGTAGTTAAGGCAGATGAAATATTGGTGGTGCTAGTAGGGTGACCTAAGCACAATGGTGGAACTAAGCCAAAGGTGAGGATTACTCGAGAATAGAGGAGGAGGCTGGGGAGAAATAGGAGAATTGCAGCGAGAGAGAAGTGAAGGATAGCTGGTATGGAGTAGAGCAGAATGGAATCAGGAGGACAGGGCGGTCGTACCCATCATTCCAAAATTTTGGGAGGAAAATAATATCTCGAAGAAACATGAAAAGGCACAACCTGTGCAACACATACTATTATTTCTTGATAAAAAGAGAATATGTGATAAAGAAAACTCCAAAGGAAAGGTTTAAATATTTCAACAATCACGTCACAATAGTGGGTCATGTTCCCATAATACACTTGTACTAGTGTAGCATTGTGGGATCTTGTTTTACCTCACCTGGGATGCAAGACCTGAGATTTCATGACGCGTGTTAGCTTCAGTAAAAATATATAGATTTTTTGTTACTATCTAGCACATAATTGAACTTCAAATGTAAAAAGTAAGAAGTAACATATTTACAATATAAATATGAAGTTTAATAAGATATGGTGAGCGCGTAAGATCTTCAGGGGTTCTTAACATTTGATGACTTGAAAATAATTCAATACAAAAAGATTCTTCTCGATGAGGGATATGGTCTATAAGTTCTCTCACGTCCTTTGCTCTAGGAGAATAAGATAAGTCCAATTTTTTATTGACACTGGAAAACCTAATGTCGCCTTCTTTGTATTTTATCCCACCCTTTCAGTTTTCACCATTCCAATAGCAGATGGTCAAAATAAACATAAAAGGTAAGCATTCTTCTAGAGATTTTCATATTCTAATGCAAATATCTCAAATCATTGCTCTTTGAACTCTATGGCATAATGAATTCGGACCGACTGCTAGTTATAACATGAGTCAGTCACATCTTAATAAAACACATGCACATTCGACCGACTTAAGGAGTGGGCATCAAGTTAGTTTTACTAGAAGGAGTGTGAAATGAACTTTCTAATGGATAGATTAATTAGGACAGTTAATCTGTATGATTTGCATATAGTGTGTGCTTTGTATTATTGTACCACCTTAGCTACTAGATTAATGTTTTTTTCCTGAATTGCTAGTCGGAAGGTAATCCTTAGAACACATACATGCACACATAGACATGCATCCTAAGGTTTTCATTAATATCACCTGTAAGAGAAATCTATCACTTTATCCATCGGTTTGAGAAATGAAATAATCGATAAGAAGATATATGGTATTTGGGTTGCAACAATCTAGATAATGCACGCTTTGAATCTAGATATGTTAGTGGAATATAATTAATATTAGCACACTACAATAAACACAACAATCCAGTGATTAATTTTGAATAGGATTGATTTTTTAAATATAACTAATCAAATTTATAGGGGTTTCAATGAATGTTTTGAGCCGATTGAGAAAGTGTGATGTAAGATCCTGAATGGACAAAGTAACATTGTACGCTAATAAAGTCCACTAATTTTGCAGCTAAATTGATTGCAACCATGTACAAAAGAAGTTGCCATAGTTAATTGGCCATTTTCAAGGTACATCAAGTAATTAGATTAATGTAACATGCCTGGAACTATATAAATGCTACATCATTGGATTCATGTTCAAATACAATTTCTTATAATGGTGACTTGCAATTATGGACCAATATTATGCAGTAATTTTATGGTTAAAAGTCACATTTTATAGTCCAAGAATGCCCAAAACTTTGTAATGCATGCATTATCTAGTATATGTAGGTACGTTTCAGAATGTCCCAAACTGTTTGTTAATACTCCCTCCAATCCTAAATATAAGTCTTTTTAGAGATTCTAGTACGGACTACATACGGAGCAAAATGAGTGAATCTACACTCTAAAATATGTCTATATTCATCTGTATGTAGTGCATATTCAAATCTCTAAAAAGACGAGACTCCACTATGGACTACATACAAAGCAAAATGAGTGAATCTACACTCTAAAATAGGTCTATATACATCCGTATGTAGTTTGCAATGAAATCTCTAAAAAAAAAGACTTATATTTAGAAACAGAGGGAGTATATCATATGGTGCTTTCAAACATAGTTTTTAGACTCTTAAGGATATTAATTTTATCAATAATTTGTAATTCTAAATGGGAAAATTGTTCATATGCAATATCGTGCATTCTAAAATTCTAGCTTGATGGTCTACTGGCTTCAACTATGTAGAAATATATCTCATATTGTTTTGCAGGTTCAAGGCAATGCTACCGAAACATGGGCAATGGAGACTTCTTTTCTCAAATAATGTCCAAAACATGGGCAACATTGTTTAATGATTTCAAGCAACTAGTTTTGAGTAAATTCAAATCATTACCTTGCTCCTAATTCATTGGTAGCTTATTGATCATGTTGACAATCTTCTGTATGGTAGGCCTCTTGTGCTGATCAATCTCCACACATTGTAGACCAATGTTGATGCATTCTTCTACTTGATCGGTACAATGGTCTTCTATATCGGGGTATTCGGACATTATTTTCTCCGGTGTCCAAATTTTTTTTACCTAAATAAAATTTTAATTTATGTATAACAGTATATTATGAATTTGAATCTTTAAATAACAAAGTGATGTTTATACTTACTCCATCAACATAATTCCTTGCATGCTTCTGGTCAGTGCTAGGACTATTCTTCTCTTTCGTGGAGATCTCCATGATGATTAGTCCTAAACTATATATGTCTGAGCGGGCCGAGATTTCACCATTATATAGATACTCCGGGGCCATGTATCCACTTATGTCATTAAGATAAAGATTTAATTAACTTTATGGAGATGTTAAGTTTAGATTATATTCTATGAACAAGGTAGCTGACATATCAGTATAATGAGAGAGAAGCTTACACCGATCCCACAACACTTCGTGTATTCATTCGGGTTTGTTCTTGGCCAAATATTCTGGAGAACCCGAAATCAGCAATTTTCGGTGTCATGTTGCCATCCAGCAAAATATTTTGAGGCTTCAAACCCAAATGGAGAACGGGACTAGACAAGGTATGCAGAAAATGTATAGCTTCGCAGATCCCCTTTATTATTTTGAAGCGTTCGTTCCAATCAATGCTACTGGCTGATGTACCTGAAGTAACATACAGTGTAATTTTAGTATTCTTCTAAGATAATGGATTCAAATGGTAAATATATTTCTGGAATAACAACGAAAAATAAGATCTTTTGACAAAAATAAACTCCACCGAAACAACAACAAATAAGATCATCTGGAGTGAACAACCTCGGCCAAAACAACAACAAGATTATTCTTGCCAGTGTTATATCGGTGTGAAAAAATAGAGGAGCTTATACTCTCCATGCTACAACTCTAAACCCTGTTTATATAAATAGAGAAACATGAAAATAAATGAAAAATAGCACTTGTAGTGATATGTAGGACATACCAAAAAGATTCTGGTCAAGGCTCCCCTTAGGTAAGTATTCATAGCAGAGTAAAGTTTCAGTTATCTCTGCAATAATGTGTCTTCCATTGCTCTGCACCAACCTGTTATTTGCTTCACGGCAGTATGCAACCAACTTGACAATATTGTCATGTTCAAGGGCCATAATATTCTGAACCTCATTCGCAAATATTTTGTCACGTGGCACAGGTGAATTTTCAGCGAGTCTCTTCACAGCAACCACTCCACCATCATTCAGAATCCCCTGTTTAACATCACAAAAAACTTTGTGTATATACCCTTTTGTATCAACCTTTGACTACAGAAAATGCTGTGGGAAAATCATACCTTATAAACTGACCCGAATGCACCTGTACCAAGTAGTAGCTCATTGGAGAAGTTCTTCGTAATTTCCTTGAGAAAGTCGACTGGTAGTTCCTTGGGTAGGTTTTGTAGGGTTATACCTCCGCTGGTCATTGCTGATAATGAAGGAAATAAAGTACTGATGTGAGCAACTACAATTTCCACTTTACCAAAGCATGGAAGTTGTTGAACAACATCAGGCTAAGTTTGCACAAGGAAGGTGTACCTAAGAAGAACTAAGGAATTTGTAAAGTGCACTGACCTTGAGAGGAATACTTGATCAAGGACCCAAGCTGGGAAGAGAACAACAAGAGGGGATGTACTTCAGATCTGAATGAATGGATTCCTTGCTACCGGTGGCTGTTGGTATATATATAAAGCAAACCAAGGACATGTTTCTGATCAGAAAGATCAGTTGACTTGACTGCTTGTAGCGTACTCGTCCTCATCTCTATACGCGGTTTAGTCTGAGTAACCTACATTTCATTCCACCTACCGACGCGGTTTTTTCTGATGTTTTTTATTTTCTGATAGACACTAGATGCAGCAATGCTCATCCCTAATCAGTTAAGTACTTTGTGCAGCCCTGGGTTGCTGCTGATATCTCGTATTATAAGAATTTGGTTGCAGCGTTGGTGTGAGCTGGTGCTAGCGTTGGGTGGCACTTCGTTGTTAGGTTCATTGGGTTGTAGTATATATTTGGATGATTAATTTATTGTTACGTTGTCTCTTAGACAGTGGAACCGGGCCTTTTGGTCATGTGGAAAAAAGACACGAGATGCAACAAGCAAGCTGACAACTTGTGTCACCTGCTGACATGCATAAACGTAATTAGATGACATTTGCAGGATTCAAACTCGACTAATTGTAATTTGTGTATACTTGTATTCTGGTCTTGTGGACCTTTACGCTTGCGTCCCTATGTCCAAGGGTTAACTAACATGGGCACATGGCTAGCTTAGTTAATGGAGGAGTGGATGAACGTATATTAAATAATGGCTGATTCTTTGGCTACTCCTGCTCCATTATTGTGCTCCCCATCGAGAAATTGAAGTCTTTGGGCCACCCGACAAAACATATTACAGATAGCTCCGTGCCACGCTATAAAAATTAACAACACGGAAGTCCCTTTTTAGTTTCCATATCAAGGACGAGACTTGCCTGCTCCCTGCGTGTGCTCCCATCCCTACTCCCGCGTACGTGGCTTGATTTGATTGGAACAAAATAAGGCTCGGCCCCACCGCCTTAAAATCAGGGAGGAGATGATTAGATTAGAAAGAAAAAAGAAAAAAGGATAGCCGTAGGATGAAGTGGGAGCATGGGAAGGGAGCAGGCAAGCCGGATCCCCATATCAACTATCCCTCGCCTCACCATGCAGCCCTCCACCTCACCAAGTGTGCCATGTAAGCATCCACTAACAATATTTTGCTGCCCCATGCAAATCACATCCATACTCTTTGTCCACACACGGTGAAAACTTGATAGTTTTCTACATTAAATTTCTCTAGCCCCAGTGAAAATTCAGGCAATAAACTTGGTGAGCTGTCATAAAGGTGGTATGGCCCTCGGTCTCTGCATCCTGGTTGTACACTTCATGTTCGGCCATCTTCAAAGGGTTGCATCCAGTAGCCATATAATCATAGCACATCCGCACCCTCAAGTAGGAACCAAGTAAGGGTCCACTGTCGCGCGGTATGGATAAAATGCAAGAAGTTGGATATTTTCAAATTTGGTAAACACAATATCTTTTGACAACTCTAATTTTTCCAACCACTGATTGTTGGAGAATTTGATCTTGCAGTAATTTGCTAGTTAGGGCTTCGCTATTTTGGCCCACTTTATGAACATCATCTCTATATTATATAGTTTACCAAGTATTTGAGCTGCCGTCACATTAATTTGTTAGGACTCTAAGAATAGATCAACTTGCCATAATCTTCATAGATACCCAGTCATGGCGGTGCGTTGTTATTTCTTCTTGATGTGCCCACATACCTTTTCTAGTACAATTATTGAGAGATACCGTACACAAAATGTTATCTTTCTGGTTGCTTTCTTTGTATGCTTTCGTATAAGGTTGAGAAAACAAACAGGCAGGTAATAAAAATGGTTAGCTCATGAATTTTCTGTTAGGTTCATTTGGAATCAAGGCTAGCAGGCATCTAGCTTTTGTATCAGGGCCGTCCCAAATGCATTTATTTTTAGATTCGTGCTTGGTCCAACAGACCCCATGTGGGAACATGTGGTCTTGTCCAGCTAGTCTGCTAAACGGTATAGGTCTCAAAGCACAGTTTTGTAGTAAACTATTCGCGCTTAAGATTTATGTGTAAACTTATTGATCCTACCCAGGAACTCACGGAAGAAAGAAAATCAAATTATTAAGGATCCCGAATGGGGCAATAAAACCTAGTACTTCCAACTATTAAGCGTCAGATTTCTGAGTACGGTCAGGATTCCGGATAACTGTTTTGACGGCGAACTTAGACCATAAGAACTTTGGGTTCATCTTTGTAAGGTTATAACGTTTTATGAGAAGACATGCATATATAAAATGGTACTGCATCAGGATTATCACTGTACTAATCTTTGAAGGTTATAATGTTTTCATGCTCATGGGAGAACAATTACGAAGATGATTTCATTGATTGCAATAACTACCCATCCGCTTGCCATAATCATAAAATATGTGTTACGAGAGTTGTCAATGTTGTGATGTGTGATCCGCGTCCGGGTTTAGTTGAGGCACCATTGTATTTTTCCCACTTGAAAAAACAATTGTCTCTAGTGGTCTATTTAACTATATGTTCGACCGTCCAAGTAAATTTGTTATGACTCCACGCAAAGATGAGCTTGGCATAGTCTTCCAAGAAACTTGGTTGTATAGATTCCTACAAAATGCGTTTTGTGGGTCTAAGTAGTATAGTCTATAGTGAGCAGTTTTCAGAGATTTTTCATTTCCTTTTTTTTTCAGCAAAATATGTAGACATCGAGAATCGTTAATCTATATACTGGTGAAGTGAGATATATATTACCTTTCCCAGTCGGAATTTTTGGGGCGTCACCCTCTAATAACCAACACTACACAAGTGAGCTGGGCATTTCAAACAGTGGAGGTTCAACAATGGGTGGAGGCATGATGCAAGGGGCGATGCAAGCGAGATAGCATCTGTTTTGGTATTGATAAAACGGATGGATCACCATGAGACATTAGGAGGTTTTAGTTACCAGCAGTCCCTAATCAAGGTCCACTCCATCACTGACTATCCGTTACACCATAACTAGAATTTGTGTTTGTAATTTTACTTGTATCATAGCGGCCGAACCATGCTTACAATTATTATTTTTCGATAAAGGACATTTCATTGAATAGATATATCAAGGTGATACAATCATATCGAAAGAAAGCCCGGCCTCTGCATAGCTAGATGCACACGGCCAAAAAGTCCAGAGCACCCTAAAAATAAAATAATTTGATACAATGCCAAGCAATAAATCGTGTCCAGCCTAAGGAGCGGTAGATCCTATCCGTAAATCACACCGCCATCGATGGGGGTAGAAAACCTTCCTGGCCGTACGCTCCAGCCGAGTAGACGCCATCATAAAAATGTCCCTGTCTTCCGGCTTCTGCAGGATAGACCAAGTACGGAGCCATCGTGTACAAACATGAATATCCTGCATAGGAGACGAGACACATTTATTGTTAAAAACCACATCATTCCTGGTAAGCCACATTGCCCAGCATAAGGCCGCCGCTCCCACAAGAATATGGGCAGAAAATTATTTATCTATACCCCGCAACCAGTTGCCGAACATATTCCGTGCACTACGTGGTGGGTATAAATTCGAAGCTACTTGGACCATAGTCCAAACTGCCCGACCGAACTTGCACTCAAAAAATAAGTGTTTGATAGACTCGTCATGTTGGCAAAAGAGACATGTCTTGGAACCATGCCAGTTTTGCTGTGCCAGATTATCTCTAGTTAGGATGACTCCTTTGTTAAGAAACCAGAGGAAAATCTTCACTCTTAGGGGAATTTTTAGCTTCCACAATTTCCTGTTATCCACATGTACATCACAATAAACCATTGCATCATACATGGATTTGACCGAAAATTTGCCATTCTAATGCAAGTTCCATCGAAAAGTGTCCGGCTCATCTGACAGTTGAATGTCCTCCAGGCGGGTGAGTAGTTCATTCCATGCTGTCAGACGAGTGCCCAAAAGATCCCTACGGAAAGAAATATCGGGGTTTTCCTGTCCTAATACTTGTTTGATCGTGACAAATTTATGTCTGACGATCCGGTACAAGCTCGGATATTGCACCATTAGTGGAGTGTTCCCTAGCCAGGTATCTTCCCAGAAACGAACCTGAGCACCGTCCCTAACCAAGAAGGTCCCAAATTGGAAGAAGAATTCCTTGGCCTTCATGACACCACTCCAAAAATGTGAATCCCCAGGTTTCCAATGAATTTGAGAAATGGCATTGGATCCCACATACTTGTTGTGAATGATTTCCTGCCATACTCCATTCTCATTGAGTAGTTTATAGACCCACTTGCTGAGAAGAGCGATATTTTTAATCTCAAGGTCTTGGATTCCCAGGCCCCCTTGGCTTTTAGGTCTGCATAATACGCTCCACCTAGCCAGTCTATATTTCTTGGTTTCGTTATCACACTGCGAAAAAAAAATCTGGATCTAAAGTAATCTAGCCGCTGTAGAACCCCTTTCGGCAGGTGGAAGAATGACAACATGTATAAAACCATATTGCTTAGGACAGAATTGATCAAGATCAATCGCCCCTCATAAGACAAGAGTTTGGCCTTCCAACTGGCTAAACGTTTCTCAAGTCTCTCTTCCACATGCTTCCACTCAGCGATAGTTAAACGCCGATAGTGTATGGGAATACCCAGATACCTTATCGGAAACTGCCCGAGCTGGCATCCAAAAATGTCGGCATACTCGGGTGCAGATTCTGCAGCCTCTCCAAAGCAAACAAGTTCACTCTTATGAAAATTAATTTTGAGACCAGAAAGTTCCTCAAAGGCACATAAGAGCAGCTTGAGATTTGTTGCTTTATCTAGATCATGATCCATAAATAGAATCGTGTCATCTGC